AGCCGTCAGTCCGTGCTGTGCGGCAGCCAGAACATCGTCCTCAACGGCAAGGTGGGTGCGTGCACGGTGGCCCCATCCAGTCAGCCCTGAGGGATCCCAGCGAGCTTGGAGACTCGTCTGCTGCCCCTGCCGGGGCCCGGCTCAGCCCTAGCGGGAGGGAAACTCAGCCCCGAGTCCCGGCCCCCATCGCAGCTGCACGATGCTGCTGTATTATCCCTGGAGTCCCCCCCCTTGCCCCTTAGGTATGAGAGCCTTGCTCTTGGCAGAACCAAAGACAACTTACTCCAGGCATAAGTGCCTCTCGGTGCTTTCACCCACGCGACGACAGAGGCACAGTTCTTTCTGTCTGCTCTTAAGCCTTGCTTTGTGCAGCTCGCTCACTTTGTGCAGCTCACTTACTCACATGATGGGAGAGCAGCCAGCGTGTCTGGGCTCTGTGCCATTTGCTTTGTTCTCACTCTACTTTTGACTAAAAGAACCATCTGTAATGCAGTATGATTTCATTGAAGTAGCCTGACCTCTGCGTGAATCTTCATAACAACTAGTAACGCTGACAGAAATTAGAGCTCACTTATCTCTTTCTCTTTCTGTCCAGACAATAGTTATGAATGACTGCATCATTCGGGGTGACCTGGCAAACGTAAGGGTTGGACGTCACTGCGTGGTGAAAAGCCGTAGTGTCATTCGACCGCCCTTCAAGAAGTTTAGTAAAGGGTAAGAATGCCCTTCCTTCAGGAAGGCAACTGAAATTAAAATCTATATACTTAAAAACATCAAGTTGGGTAAGATCTGTGTTTAGAGCACTGCATTCCTTTTACAACAATTATGCATAAATATGTCCTTCTGAACCTACTTTTTCCTCAAATTTTCAGCTTTGGTTTGAGGGTTAGTGTGCTTTTCAAACTGTAACATGGAAGGAATGGGATATATTAAAATAGCAAAGCAAAGAATGTATTTCATTTGTTCTTCATGCAGTCTTTAGATCTAGGCATGTTTTACTGACATGACATCTTCCTGTTGTTTCTTTTGGTTATCTTTTAGAAATACCTGAGAAAAGACCGGTTGCTGTTAAAATCTTCCTTAGTATCAGACTTGCCTCTGGTAATATAATTGGAGATGGGAGACTTCACAGTGTGATTTTAGGTTTAATAGCATTGTGGATTAATCTATATATTGTCACCTGAACGAATAACTCTCTCTCCTGTCACAGGGTCGCTTTCTTCCCTCTCCACATTGGTGATCATGTCTTCATAGAAGAGGACTGTGTTGTCAACGCAGCCCAGATTGGCTCTTATGTCCACATAGGCAAGAACTGTGTCATTGTGAGTACTTCTTCTCGTTATTTACTTTAAACTCTTGAGTACTACTGAGACTAAAAACAATGGGAAGTTATCCATACCCACTGTTTGTAGCAAACACACTTACTCTCCTGCTGTTCCCTTCTTCTTCCTTTTCCTTCTCCACGGAAAGTGGTGCTTTAAATTTTGTCATTCTGAGGAGAGCAGGTACAGCTGAGCACTGTTTGGAAAACCAGTTCCAACAATATTGTCTCTATGGCAAATGGGACTGAGCTGGGATCCTTCTAGCACTGGCTGATAAGAAACAGGCAATTGTCCTGTGAGACCCGTTTAGTTCCTCTCTGCCTGTGATGAATGCAAAGGGATGACTCTTATTAAATGGCTTTCTGTATTAGTTAATAATTTATTATTGGCGTTAATGTACACGTTCGTGTTTTATTGAAATACATAACTGCAGGGGCGTGCAGTTGCTAATCATCTTAGACAAGCTGCCAAATGTCCTGTATTTTGTTAAATACTGCAGCAGTTTAATCACTGTACCCTGTGTGAAAGACGCGCTTCTTCTCTTTTCAGAAGCTGCATTTACGCAGTCTGGACATATAGTGGTTCCTTTTCATTGGCATTTGTCTTCGGGCTTCGCCTGACTTTTAAGCTATGCAAAAACAATTGGGTAATCGGCATGTTAGGAACTGTTGATATCAGTGTATCCAGGGAAGAGAGCCTTTCCCTGAAGCACAAGCAGATTTGTGGATCTGCACGAATAATGCAAAATAGTCAAAGTTGCTGTCTGCTGAGCTAAAGACCTTGCTATGTTACTGCATGATAGGGTTATTGCTTCCAATTTGCACATTGACATATGTTAATATGCAGCTGCATGTGTATGTGTTGCTCAAGAGCAAGTAGACTTTTTTCCTCCAAAAAAACCCAAAATTAATTCAGTCTCTTAAATGCTGTTGGGAACTCCATTCAGTCAGGGTAAAGATGTATTCCCATGTTTCCTTTATTACACAGAATGAGTTTTGAGGAGTTAAACTTGTTGAGCTTCAGCTTATCAGGAGTAAGTAAAAGGATTGTGAGTATAAGCTTTACCTGGTCTTTGTTTTAGGGTCGTAGATGTGTTTTGAAAGACTGCTGCAAAATCTTAGACAATACGGTATTACCTCCTGAAACAGTCGTCCCACCTTTCACAGTGTTCTCAGGCTGTCCGGGTAAGCCTACTGTCTAATTTTACTTGTGTGTGAGTGTGTATAACTTGAATGTTCTTATTTTAAAAACAAGTTGCTGTGACAAAGGCTCCTATTTGCATGGGGCCTAGAAATAAAGGCATAGGATGCTTGATGAAATGAAAAGTAACATTTTTAACTTGTGAAACTTGCTGCTTTGGGATATGTCAGGTAGATGGTGTATGTTTACTTGTAATAACATGACAGATGACAATACATATGCCAGCTGTGGCCATCCTTTATAGTAAGGCACACAGCCTTTCAGGCATCTAAAATTCAGCGGGCAGTTGGGCTCTGAAGGAGGGAACACTTCCTTTTCAGTGGTTTCTGGCTTTGTAGTTGTTTCCTTAAGTTCAGTTATAGGAGTTCCACATTATTCCTATATTAATAGAGAGATAGGTACACTGAACTGAGATATATGACTGTTTAGTTCCTGCCCGTCAGTCTGGCTGCACTGGAGGCCTCACTGTACAAATTGTGCGATCTGTTGTTCATCTTCAGATACTGTTTTATGGGGAAGGGCGGAAGCCGTTGGAGGACCTAGCTGAGGCAGGCTATCTGACTTCTATGCCAGAGAGTAGATGGGAGTGACCCCATTGTATTGCTTTACATGAGAGAAGAGCCCTTAGCTATTCTGTTAGTATTTACTTATAATTCAATCATAAAACAGAGTAACTGCTTTGAATGTTGAATATAAGCCCGTTTTTGCTTCCTTCTTCAAGAATGCTGATGGTAATGCTGTTGTTCTTCCAGGACTCTTCTCCGGGGAACTCCCAGAATGTACCCAGGAACTCATGATTGACGTTACAAAGAGCTATTACCAGAAGTTTTTGCCGCTCACTCAGGTCTAGTAGCCTGTTTACCATGTTTCAGAGCAATAAAGGCACATTTTGGGAGGGGGAGAGGAATATTGGTCAGAGAATCCAGGGCATGGTCCTCAGCTGTTCCTGAACACTTCTGCGGGTGTTCCTCAACACTAATGGTCTGGCCAAGCAGTCCCTTGTGAAAACTGCTGTGTCATGTTGTTTAAACTTTGTATGGTCGTTCAAATTTTCTTCATTCCATGTTGTCTGAATTGTGCCATTAAATGTTCTGGAGCTAGGAAAACTGATAAAATTCCCTTTAGGGCTGTTGCAGTTGAGCAACGAGGCAGAGCTAACAGCTCATACTCTGCAGCCAAAGCCTGTCTTTGATATCAGTTGTGTTCCTAACCCAAAGCAAGTGGGTTTGCATCTGATAGAAGCACCCTTCATCCTTGAACAGAAGTGTTATGTAGCTGACATGTTTGTTCTGGGCAGTTACTGTAGCTCATTAGAGCCAGTGCTTTCCTTCAGAAAAATATGTATTCATCTATGGGCCGGTGTGTTGAGGTGGATGACCTCTTCCTTTTTTCCCTGTGGACCGAGATTCTCTCCTATAGGAATGAGGTATCTTATCATCCTGTGATTGGTTTTAGCACTTTTGGCTGACAGATTGAAACCTATCTTACTCTGACTTGCCTGATAGGACACTTAGCTTTTAGCTCTTGAAGTAGGCACCAGTTGTGTGCTCTCACACCTCATGCAGGGTTAGGATTTTCATGTCTGATGCATGTTCTTTTTCCAGAACATCACAGACCTCAAAGAGCCAAAGGGCTTTGGAAAGAGGATTACCATTTCACTCTCAAAATTCAGTGCAGCAGAAGGTGGGGAATTAAAAGCCAAAACTGGAGGTGGGCGGGAGAATCCTGCGGTTGTCCCCATTTGTCACCCACTGTGTATATTTGCAGAAAGCTCTTCAGTGCTTTTTTTGCAAAATAAAACTTAA